AAAAAAAAATATAAGAAACACCAGCAGCAGAAGAGAGAATGCGGAGGATTCGTTGCAAAATTAAAAGATCCTTTTTTAACAAAGCAGGAAAAATGACAGGAGAACAGTATAGGATAAGAGGAAGAATGCAGGCATCAACGAATCGCCAGATTAAGGGATGAGGTGTATGGTAGGAACGTAATCGACGTATATAGTAAAGAAGTTCACGAACTTTAATAAATAGGGACTCAATATGGAGGGAAAATGAAAGATTTGAGGACAAATTAACGCCGAGATACCTGAACGAGGGTACTTCGTTAGGAAGAATGTAAGAGGAATCAGGGTTAGGAGAGGGCCGCAGTCGAAAAATACACTGAACGGATTTTTGGTTGTTAATTAGGAGACCATTTTCCTCCGACCACGCTAGGACATGGTTTAGGCTATCCTTTAGAGACCGGAGGTGTGTCTGACTTCCGAGAGGTTGTCCAACAACCACATCGTCAGCATACTTGACCAGAAGACAGTCATTAGGGGACCTGAGATCATCAGTGTGGAGGGAGAAAAGGTGAGGGGATAGAATGGAACCTTGAAGAACACCGCAGTCATTGGGAAGGATCGAAGATTTCCGCTTGCCAGATTGGACAAATTGGGTGCGGAAGGTAAAATAATCGCTGAGCCAAGAGACGACCCAGCCTGGAGAGCCACATGCGGAGGTTTTGGAAAGGAGAAGAGGGCGCGGGACGGTATTGAAGGCGGAGGAGTAATCAAGAAAAGCGCACGCATACTCGCGGCAACCCTTGTCTAATGCTTTTAGAGCAGAGTGGACCACAAGAGCGACACCATCTAAAGTACTCCGTTTAGCTTTGTATGCAAATTGTAAGGGGTCGGAAAAACTGGAGGAAAAAGGCCTTATGATATCTAGGGCAACTCTTTCAGCAAGTTTTAGTATTGCAGAGGAGTAGGCAATTGGGCGAAAAGATTTAGGACCAAAGTTAACAGGCTTTTTAGGGATGGGAGTGATTCTCACTGTACGCCAGGCGTCGGGAATCTTGGACTCCATGAAAGACATATTGATTAGGTGCGTTAAAATAGGGGCTATCTGAGAACTGCAAGATTTAAGAAGAAAAGGCGAGACACCATCCGGTCCGGCAGCTGTTGGTCCACGGAGCTTTTTAAGGTGTTTCTCTACTGTTGCCAAAGACACGAGTTGGAATGTACTCGGTGATAGGGGAATGTCTTCTAAGAGAAGATGGGAGTCATTGTGACTAAATATAAAATTTTTATTTAGGGAGTCTAAATCAGCATCCACATGCACCAGCGTGTTGCGATGGCCAGTGAGACGCTTAAGATTTTTCCAAATCTCAGCTGAGGAAGGGGGAAAGGGGGGGAGTAAGAGGAGGAAAAATGTTGGCTGATCTGGACAAGCACTCAGGCGCATAGCAACTGTACACTCCAACACCTGGCCAGTTGAAGCGTGAGGCACCCCGGGGGCTGCCAGCTGGGATAGGCATGTGACAGTCTACCGAGCACATCCTATAAATACTGCAATACCCGGGCAATCCACTGCCCTTATCTGACTCTGTCTCCGATGATGGCTTCGAGTGAGAATCCGAAACGGCAGGCTAATAAAGCTTTTGTTCCAACGATCGTGTCTCCGTCCTCGCGACTACTTCCTGGAACTTGTCTCTTTACTTCATTTAAAAATAATCCTGCCTTAACGTAAGAAACTACGGCAGAGGCCTAAAACACGGCCCCATCTAGTCATTTCCTAGTCAACTGCCTACGAATTTCGTTTTAATATCAGCTCTAGTAGATGGGATTGTGTTTAGTGTTAGGGTTGGGGTTACGGTAAGGGATTAGAATTACGGTCAGCGGTTTAGGATTTAGTGTTAGGATTAGTATTTCGGGGTCATGGGTCTAGGGTAAAGGTTTGATTTAAGATATAGGGTTAGTGTCTAGGGTTAGGACCTAGAAGTAGGGTTTAGGGTTGGGATTTAGAGTTACGATTTAGGGCCAAGTTCAGGGTTATGATTTGGGGTTAGGGTCAAGACTTAGGGTTCTCCGGTTTACCAGATGGGGCCATGTTTTAGGCCTCTGCCGAAACTACCACAGGGTCCTTTGTTTATCCGCACTGTTTAGTGGCAGCCTCTGCTGACATTGACCCTCGTTTATTTCAGAGCAATCAAGGTCTGACGATAACTGTTCAACTTAACAAAAAGGATAGGCATATTGTTCTCGCAGTGGCCCATGTCGTCGAGACTAGTTTTGTTGAAACTAGTCTCCACTTCAGAATAAAAACTGCCTCTCTCTCTCTTTCTTTTGGCAACCGGACAGTAAGATGACAGCCGAAAGCGTGATTGTTAGGCCTGGAAGCCTTGTGTCTTGTCTTGAAAAATATGATATGAATCTCAAGAAGACCTGCCTGGATAAGCAGTGCTGTGGTTCGGACAGGGGACACTCGAGAATACTAACAATGGAAAAGCAGAACCGGATGTCACAGGTACATGATAATCACTAAGAAAAAGCACATGAGTCTGAATACCCGAGTAACACACAGACTCTGGGATGCTAGCTGCCCATAACGCTCACCAGTCTGTATGAAACCTCAGCTCCCCTCCAGTTTGGAAATTTCGGTTTTCCAATTGCCAATTAGAGACATCGTGGTGTTAACAGGACAAGGACAAACACATCAGAGATGAAGAATTGGGCAAGGGTCAGTTATGTTATTCGGGTCCCAAGTGTAAGCGCAGTGTGGGCATTGAGAGTAAAGTAAGCCGAAGGGGAATGCTGAAATCGTTTGTTGGGAAAGTAGCCAAGGCTGAGGCGGAAAAGGCAACCTGATGTATGACAAATCTGCCGCGTTATCGAAGGAAGCGTAGAATCCCCGCAGTACAAGCGCGGCAGGAATACCCCAAACCTAACGGTAAACCTAGTTGTGACCTCAAACGTAAACCTGATCCTTGACGTAATTATAAACCTAACGTTAGCCCTAAACTTAACATTAAACCTAACCCTAAACCTACCACAAACCCTAGTTCTAACCCTAAGCCTAACCTTAACTCTGGTTCAAATCCTAACCCTAATCTTAATCCAAACCACAATCGTAACCTTAACCGTAACCCTAACCTTAGCCGTAGCCCTACGCTAACCTCAACCTTAACACTAAACGTAAACGTAAACCGCAATCCCAACCCGGTATTTATCGGGTGAAGGACCCCAAACAGACGACCAACCAAAGGTGCCCGTCTTACGGGAAAAGGTAGTAAAAGGGGTTTAAGGGTGGGACCTAGGTATGCATAGAGGAATGGCAAAATAAGTATAGATAATTGGTAAACTCGTCTTTTTTTTGGGGGGGGGGACGTTTTAGTGCATTGACATATAGCAACCGAAATTAAGCAGGGTAATTAAAAAAATAAACATTGAGTGTCTTTAACGATCGCTTCTCAATCCTCTGAGCTGAGGTCATTGTAGATAATGCACCAGACCGTCTACAACAGACGACCCAACCTTGTACGATGAAACATCAAACCGAAATAATCGTGTCGGACTAAAATCCGTTTAAATAAGTTTAGTAGGTATTCTTTGTATGCCACAGATGCTTAAGGTCCTTCACCCGATCTTTGCCCCAAACCCTAACTCTAACCGGAATCATTAAACCTAACACCAACCCTAATCCTAAAATCAACTCTCAGCCTGTTACTAACCCAAGCCCTAACACTAACCCTACCTCCAAACCGAAACATCAGGTTGCCCTTTTCCGTCTAAGCTTTAGCTACATCCCCACTAACGATTTCAGCATCCTCCTTCGACTTAATTTACTTACAATGCCCAGAATGAGCTTACGCTTGGGACCCAGACAGCCTAACTGACCCCTAGCAAGAGTTGGAGACTTTAAAAACGAGAACTGAAATTCGTGACGTTAACGAAACTGTGGAATTCCGATGCGTGTAGGAGCTTAATTTACCAAATTCGTAAGTCCAAATCCTGGTCGCGAAATCCCTAATCGAGCCATTTTTCTCCAAAAGTCCTACCTGTATCGTCAAGCGAGCTGGCTGTGCGCGACCCATTTTATCACACAATTGTTCCCAACGCCAGCTTAGCATCCTTGCTCCAGGTCTTGCCCCCATTTCCCCTGCAAAGCCCTCCAACCAACACACAGACGCGTACCGAGACTGCGATTCGCAAAGTGTCTTGTAAACGGATGACTAAGGGAGAGAGAGAGCCTGAGACCGGGGCTGGGGCAGATTTGAAGGGAATCCTGACCCCTCTACGGCAGTGCACTCTAGCTTCCGTGCTGGGGTCCCTGGGAGGGGGTGTCGCACCGCAAATGCGCAGGTCCCTTGGCTGACCCAGTAATCGGACGCGTTGAAATGTGGCGGGGCCTCAGGCCATCAAGCGGGCACCGACGCAGAAGGCGTAGGTGCAAGCACGGTCACCGACGTGCTTTTGCACGCATGTGGCACTGTGCTGGGGCAGACCCCTCACCCATATGGCGGTTCGCCCACTCACAAAGGGCTCCTCTACGGAGAGACTGACTAGACGGGGGAGGGGGGTGGGGGATGCCACAGGGCAGGGTGAAGCGTCGGTTGGTATCCGGGACATTTTCTCGCACCACAGGCTGTTCTGTGTCTAGGACACACCTTCGCGAACGAAATATTCATGCAAGGACGTGCTCTAACCATTTAATTAAACGCAGGTACTTGACAGTTCGACCGTAGATTTCGACGATGTCCACCGTGTGCCCCACAGCTGCAGCAGCGGTGGGAGCAGGGACGGTGACTTACGCAGGGGTTTATAGTGCCAGTAGACTTGCGCAGCATCCACCTACACTCTCTCCTCCTCCCCCGCCTGGGCCCTGTGTCAAGACAGAGTCAAGAAGACCGGAGACGAGGGAGGCCGCAGGTGGATGGCTCGGACGGATCCTCACCTTGGCGTTCCACCACACCCCCTGGTCCACACAACAATAACCAGGATTTGAACCAACACAACATAGATTTGGNCATCTTCGAGATGACGAGGCGATGGTCGGTCCACCCGTCAGCACCCGCGATCGCCTTCGTCACCAGCACGTCCCGCTGATCTCGCCTCCGGACGAGGACATAGTCCAGCAGGTGCCACTGACGCGACCGAGGATGCCTCCAGGTGGCCTTCTCTCGCTCCGGCAGACAGAAGAACGTGTTCGTCAGGATGAGGCGGTGTTCTGCGCAGGTGCGGAGGAGAAGCAGGCCGTTGTCGTTGGAGCCGCGGAGACCGTGGGGACCCAGCACTCCCCTCCAGGCAGTATGGTCTGTGCCGACGCGGGCGTTGAAGTCACCAAGGACAATCAACTTGTCCGCCGTCGACACAGTCGCCAGGAGGGCGTGCAGGTCCTCGTAGAATTTGTCTCTGACAGTGTCGGGGCTGCTCATCGGCGGAGCGTAGGCGCTGATGATGGTGGCGAATTTGCCTCCCCAGAGAGGCAGGCGGAGGCTCATCAGGCGATCGTTGATGCCCTGCGGCAAACAGGGCAGTCGTCCCACGATGTCGGTCCGGATGGCGAAGGCGACGCCCGCGTCTCGTCGCTCTGCCCTGGGTCGGCCACTCCAGAAGAAGGTGTAACCGGCACCCACCTCCTCCAGTTGGCCTTGTTCGCAGAATCGGGTCTCGCTGAGTGCGGCGATGTCCACCTTGTAGCGCGCCAGTTCTCGTGCCACTAGCGCCGTCCTCCGTTCCGGTCGGTTGCTCCTCGGATTGTCTAAAAGGGAACGAACATTCCAGGCTGCCAGAGTGAGCGGGCTCACCCTGTCAGTCTGGGGAAAACGAGTGGGGCGATGGGAAGGAGGTGGAGAAGAAGATGACGAAGGAGAAGAATAGGCAGAAGAATAGACGGAGGTAGAGGTAGAAGAGGTAGGATGAGGAGAATGAGTATGGTTGTTGTTGTTGTTTCGAGTTTGATTGTTTCGACCGTGAGTTTTGCGTCTGCGACCACGGTGCGCCAGCAGACGACGTGGTTCCCCAGCAATTTTTAGGCCAGCTTTTCCAGGCCCCCCCGAAGGAAGCAGTGCCCTGACCCCTGAATAGGGGCTGCTTGATGTGCCGGCGCGGCCGAACTCCACTTTGGGCCACGAGTTTTTTTGGCAGTGGAAGAACGACTCGAATTTGCCAATGGCTTACGGCATTGCCGCAAGCCTGCGGTCTCCTACGGTGCACCAGATGGGCGCGTGCCGACGGTGCCAATTCGGAGATCCGTCCCACCGGCTGATCAACGGCGTACCAGGCGGAGCCTCGTCTAGACGATGCCGATGCGACGTTCCACCACCAACCGGCTGACCAGCGGTGTGTCAGACAGAGCCTCGTCACGACGGCGCCGACGCGGTGTTCCATCCGACCAACCGTCCACGGAGTCCGCAGTCACCTGTGCACGCGGCACAACGCGCACAGGGAGTAACCGCCCTCACCTGGTTTAGCCCGCCGGTCGAGACGGTTGCCTGGGGTGTGGCCGCTGAGCAGAGCCCAGCTACGTGGAGCCACAGGTGAGAGTTGAGTGCCAGCAAGTGGACGCTAGGCGTAGTCTCACCTGCAAGCAAGTGACGACCACTACGACCTTCACGTGAATTCACCGCTGACACCCCTACACCCCAAACGCAGGTACTTAGTAAGATGGTCAAGGTACTAACAGAAGTTGCGCAGCAGTATCATCATATTTGTAATATTTGCTAGAGTTAGAAGTGCCTAAACGGGACAGTATACCTTGAAAACTAACTAAAAGTAAATAATACTACTGAATCGTTGGATGGATATTCCTTCTGGATGCATACACAGGAAGAGTCCATTGGCCTGCTGCCATGCTTCGCCTTCGAAACCGCATCTCCTCCTCCTCCTCCTCCTCCTCCTCCTCCTCCTCCTACAATTCAAACAACTCTCCTTGTTGCGAACGGGCTAAATTGCAGATCAACATTTCGCCCAGTTCGCAGGTTATTTCTGTACGTTGTTTGAGATTTAGTACTCGTCTTTAGACTTTTTTTACAAGGGGAACACCTCGATAATATGATGGGTCACCAGTCCGAAACTGAGCTGAAACTCTAGGAAAGCAGTCCGTATTCAATTAGTTGTCAGGATATTGTCATCGTAAACCCGAGCACAGGGAAAGTACGGCAAGCAACTGGACCATTCACCAAATCCGTTGTCCTCATCGAGGCGGAGCAACGATAGGGTGCAGGACTCATAACTAACTTAAACAAGACTGTGGACCGTGCCATACGTTAAATTTTAGTAGAGGGGATTTTACGGGTGGGACAACAAACTAGACGGAGAGCAAAGAGACACAGAAAATAGATAAATTTCTGCCGACAGTCTATCGTACGTCGTCAATTGGCAGCGAAAAAACGAAAAAATTTAAAAACTAAAAAAAATAAACGAAAAGCAATTTTTGAAAAATAACGGACTTGAATAAAGCGTCGCTGGTAAGTTTGCACTTAGTCAGGAAGGGAAAAAATTTCAAACAATGGGAACGATGATTAATACGTGATGTTTACAGTCACATGGAATTTTAGGGTATATTTTTAGGAGTTGCCATCTACTTGGTGTTCTTGCACACTATCGTAACCTCGAGGGCGGTTCCAGATGACATCCCAAAAGTGCCTCTAACTCATTCTTTGAACAAAACTTCGATTTTGACATTTACACAGTACATTAAGCAAACACCGGTCAGTAGAACTGGGCATTGGGTCTCCCTTTCCAGTCCATGGTAGAATTGAGCAATCCATCTCCCTTCTCTCCCCACATGATTTCGCACTGATTAAGTGCACACTGCGTGCTCCTTGACCGAAGACCACTTTCATATCAGCTCTAACGGTCTAACGGACTAGTGTGTTCATGCCTAAAATGGCAACATTACTTCTGGACTTTTGCTTGCTACATACTACTTGATTTTTCATTCTCAATAACAAGGGGGCCCACCGTACAAATTCCATCACGGTAATATCCTGAAACCGCAGCACCTTAAAAAAACTCAGGCAAACGCTAGAAGCGCCTTGCTTTTTGTCAGTCATTCCTTGCACTATGACAGTTTAACCGTCGTTTCTGACAGTGTCCACTTTGTGCCCCACGAAAAGGTGAGACAGGCGCGGTGACTTGCGCGTGAATTAGTTTATAGTGGTAGTAGACTTGCACAGCATCTACCGCA